ACAGAACCTTGTGGGACACCATGGGTAAGGGAGGTGGTGGAGGACCTAAACTTGGAGACGGCCACAGAAAAGGAGCGCTCAGAGAGATAAGAGGAGAACCACTCCAGAGCAGATCCTGATAGGCCTACCCAGTCTCTCAGCCTCTCCAGTAGCAGGTGATGGTCAACAGTGTCAAAGGCTGCAGTCAGGTCCAGCAGGACCAGAACAGAACAGTCCCCTGCATCACTGTGGGTCAGAAGGTCATTAGAGACTCTAAGAAGAGCTGTTTCAGTAGAATAAGCTCTACGAAAACCTGACTGGAAGCTATCATAGATGTTATGTTCATCAAGAGCAGGAGATGCAGGAAGATAATAAACAGGCAGGACAGGAAAAATAGTCAAATAAAAACAAGTTACTTTTTGTACCTGGTGGTTGCTACAAACAGACACCATTGAAGGTAATCAGAAGTGAGGAACAGAAAATGAAATAATTATTTTAATGTTTAGAGCAGCAGGAACTCTTGAGAGGCTGCAGGCGCATCAGTGAGTTTGCTGCCACTGCACAGAGGGAGGGGGGAGAGGGCTGAAGCAGGGGAACAGTAAAGATGCAGAAACTACCATTGTTAAAAGAGAAAATGTGGGCACAATTTTAATTGTCAAAAACTCCAGCGAACCAACCAGCTTCACAGACGGCCACAGAAAAGGAGCGCTCAGAGAGATTGCACCCCAAACATGTAATGTTATTTCCTCATAAAAAAAAATCCAAACCCATTTTTGCTGCATTCATGCATTTTGCTGTTTCAGCTGCAAATTTAGAGGTTAACTAAAATCTAATTTGACTAAACTCTTATAAAGCATCAATGGAAACTAGACTTGTTTTCAGGCCCTGCTCCTCTCCCAGAAGCCAGTCTCTGGTCTGAAACCTGTCTCCCCTGGCCAGCACAGGATTTGTGTCTTATGCCACTGATGCCGTGTAGTAGACTTGGTAGTCCAGTGGTTAGAGTGCTCGGCTGGCATGCAATTTAGCGCAGGGTTGCTTCCTGGTGTGAGCAACAATTTCTTTTTTTTTTAGCTACATTTGCCAGTATGATGTTTTCAACCCTTCATTGGTAAACAGTTTAAAAGTATGGACTAATATATCTTTTTTGTTTTTTTCTTTCTTCATTAGCCAGTGTGAGTCCATGTGAGGAGAGCAGAGCAACGCCCGGAACACACCAGCTGCGAAGCGCCGCAAAGTGGATCGCTCACGAAATTCGTGCACTGTCCGCTGCTCCTCTGTTAACATCAGGCGAGAATTTACACCAGGCACTTCTGCTCATGCCTACTGTTTTCCTGCTGCTTTGCGGCTGATGTGACTGAGAGCGTAGGTTAACAAGGGTGCTGATTAGAAGCACTCGACGTTCCACGGTGCTACGCGGCGCTTTGTTGCGTTTCGTCGCACTTCCGTGTCTGGTGTGTTCCGGGCGTTAATCAACTAAAAAGCTGCTTGGAAAGGCCCAAATTCAAAGATGTTTAGAGACACAAAATATTTAGCAGAAAATAACCAAACAAAAATATAAAAACATGAAACCTGCATCAGCTGGCTACATTTAAATTACTGCTGACCCCACCAGGTTTCAAACCCACATCAGCACATGGCAAAACTGAAATAACAGATGGTCATCTTAACAACTGCACTATCATGGCCAGTACAACAACTGACTCGCCTAAGATGCTGTTCGTCGTCCATGGGTGCATCGCCTAACATCGCCACGGATGGAACGACCGGTGAGGTGTTGTTGCTTTCCTTTGAGGTGTTGTTGTTTTCCTGCGAGTCAGAACCTGTGAAAACATCAGCCTGCAGCATCTTCGTCGCATCTGGCGGCTTCTCGGCCAAACACGGGGTTGCTGCCCGTGTCGCCTGAAAACCACGCATAAACTGTTTGACGTCCTCGCCGTCTTTCTGAAGAGCGCAGATCATGTTCATCATGTTCCTCATCTCAGTCAACATCGGTAGGAAAGCGCTTTGCAACGCCGCCTGAAGTTGGGATGGTAATTGCATCGTTTCCTCTGAGCCCATCCTCCAATTAGTAATGAGTTCTTTAATTTACTAATTCTTCCAGAAACAACCTTACCTGTAGACTTATTAAAGAATTAGTTACAGGGAAGCTTGGCTTTTGAATGAATATTTGGGGCAAAATCGTTTAGTAATGCCAAAAATATCATTCTCTTTTGACCTACCCAAGATGGCTGGTCGAGCTACGTGTCGGGTTACCTAAGATGGCGGATCGTCGCGCATGCGCTGTCCGTCACTCGGCGGTTGTCCCTGTAGCAAGTTCGATTCTACACACCGGAGCGTTTTACAAGAATCACCGCTAATGTAACCAACTGTACTTTGTACCGGAAGGTTTAGCGGATTTTAGGACGCAGAAGCGCTGCGTCGGAACGGTTTGACAGCTTATCGGGACGCGTTCCCGAGTCTAAACCGGGGTGGCTAGTTCAGGGTGTCCGCAGGGTTTTAAAAAGTATTAAAAAGTGATAAATAAAAATAGTCAAATTTAAGGCCATTAAAAGTGTTAAATTTGGTCTCAGAGGTATTATTTTTTCCTAATTAGGTTTTTTTTTTTTTCAGACTATCAGGTGTCGTATTGTGAACATCGCCATAGAAATATATTCTGAATGAAATTGAAAATGAAATATGCAGGGCTCGCAGGGCTTTAGCATATCCGGTCACATAATGATGACGTCAGTGGTCGTTCGGCATCCCGCGCGTTCAACTGTCTGAAGCGCTGGACAGAAGTGGCTTGTTACGCTTAGTTTTAGATTTACCTCAAGGCATATCTTCTTGGAGTGGGCAACCATCATCGTCTTCATGGGCAAATGCAAGGTTTCTGCTAGCTGGGTGGACGACCCAGCGTTTAAGGACTGGCTCAGACCTGTAGTAGGTAATAACAGGCAGGCTTATTGTTCGGTGTGTAAAAAAATCATCAATGTCAACTGGATGGGAGCTAACGCACTTCGTTCGCATATGCAGTCCACTAAACATAAAAATGGAATACGTGCTCGGAGAGACCAATTAATTCTACCACTCTCAGCTGTCTGTACGGCTGCACCACCACCGCAAAGTAGTGCCACGGTAAGCCTACCGGCCAGCACTATGGCTCCAGCAACGTCGGACCTTCGGGTGTTCATGGGTGCCACACCAACACTGCGCGCGGAGGCTCTGTGGTGTCTAAACACTGCTGTTAAACACCACTCATTGAACTCCAATGAAGGGATTTCGGAGCTGTTTAAAGAAATGTTTCCTGACTCTGACATTGCAAAGTCATTCACGTGTGGTAAAGACAAAACCGGGTACATCATCAGATTTGGATTAGCATCGTTCTTCAAAACACAGCTTGTTGATGGCATCAACAAGGCTGGGCCATTCGTATTGATGTTCGATGAGAGCCTCAATCAGGCGTCAAAGAAGAAACAGCTTGACATTCATGTTCGATAATGGGAGGATGACCGTGTCCAATCCAGATACTTTGGATCTCAGTTTTTGGGACATGGAAAGGCCGAAGATTTGTTGCATCATATAAAGGTAAGTTATTTTATACATAGCCCTACTTACGCAGTATTCAGTGGTCACTAATTTGAAGAGTTATTTATTCACAAAGACTTTGTATATTATAATAGGATGATGTTGGCTAATTTACTGTTGGTTACACAACATAATGAAATTTGCCAAAGTCTAGCAGTTACTTGAATGAAACCTGTAGGCCCACCAACATTTATTTACCTGTGGGGTATAGCTCCAAGGTACAAGACAATTATGTTTTAGTATTTTGTTAATTTCTAACAACCCATCACAGTCATAGAAATGTAATATTTGGCTCAGGTTTTGTTGTTTTTTATTGGGGGGGGGGGGGGGGGGGACTAAATAACAGTATATCAGGGTTATAATAGCATTAAAATTCTAAATAAATAAAACAAACTAAATAAAATAGGACTCTCACTCTCTTTTAGAAAATGTTGCACCAAAGACAACAGGGTAGACCCTGTCTTTCCAAAACAATAAACACAATGGCCTATCCAGTGTCAACAACCAAAACTGCATTTCAATAATGATAATAAATATTAATATTAGAGTTGTACATTTCTTAATCTCCACATATTGAGGCAGAAAACATTTTTGAGTTCATTTTCATCTATCGTTCAATGAATTGATTATTGATTTATTGCTTATGTCCCAGCCCTAGTTTTTGTCTTTTCATTAAAGAAGTTGTGTAACAGGGCAAGACTGAAAAAAGAATAAATGTATAACAAAATCTTAGCAAATGATGCTTTTTAAAAAAATGTATTGACATGGGCCAGGTTAACAACCATACAAATCAGGCAAGTATAAAATATATATGGCAGATTAATTATTATTAAAAAGCCCAACAATTAATACAGGTGCTACGGTTCTGTAAAAACACTAATACTGACTGGCAACGTTGAGCCATGAGCCAAGTCACCATGAGTATTATGCTTTTGGTCATGTCGAACATATTCTAGTAGTAATTAATCCCAAATTGGACTCTGTCACTTTCTCTCAACCTTTGCTTATGAGACGCACAAGATAATGCAGTGAGTGTTGAGATCTACTTTACTGTGTCTGATAACACAGATTTCCTCCTGGTGTCAATTCACAGGAATGTGTCACACGGTTGAATATGAGGCAACTGCTATCAGTTGGAATGGATGGCCCCAATGTGTATTTCAAGTTGGTGGATCTACTCCAAAAAGAACATGCAGAGCTCTATGGAGGTGCCCAGGTTGTCACTGTTGGAAGCTGTGGACTTCACACCGTCCACAACGCTTTAAAGGCAGGCTTTACTATGTTGCAACTGGAAAAACTTCTGCGAGCCATGCACTTCCTCTTTCATAATGTTCCTGCCAGGAGAGAAGATTTCACCAGCCTGACAGGGTCCTCCTGCTTTCCCTTACCATTTTGTGGCCATAGTTGGGTGGAAAACGTTCCAGTGGCGGAAAGGGCAGTTGAAGTTTGGCCACTGCTGAAGACATAGGTGGATGCTGCAGAGAAAAAGAAGGTTCCAGTCCCCTGCACAGCTTCATATGACACCATAGTAGCTGCACAAAAAGATCCTTTCATTATCGCAAAACTCCAATTCTTTCTGGCAATTTCAAGAACTTTCAACCCCTTCTTGACAAAATTCCAAACTGATGAGCCAGTGTTGCCCTTCTTGGCCAGAGATTTGACTGAGCTGCTGATGGTAATGATCATTAAATATTTTATACAATTGACTGCATTTGGTGAATTTGTGTAAATTGCTGGATTATTAACTGCTTGTTTTGTCATTTTAAGAGTTTACTGAGGCGGTTCGTTCAACGAGAACTCACTGAGGACCTCACACCCCTGCAGCTGATCAAAATTGATCTAACAGATGAAAGGAACTTGATGTCCCCAAAGAGTGTAGACATAGGCCTGGGAGCAGAATCTGCTATCAAGGTAATTTTATTTATTCCCCCTGAGGTGCACATGTGTTTTGGGATGCCTACACAAAGAACCAGGATGTATGTTGTAAAATTAATACTACTACTACTATGTTTAGGCTGCTACTACAACTGATATTCAAATTAATAGTAATAATAGGAAGATGAAAAGAAAATAGGGATAAAGAAATATTATTTTCCAAAGCATTTGCAGTGAACATTCACTAATGTTCCTCACTTCTCAGGAACTTCAGAGCAAACCAGGATTCAAGGTTGGTGAGCTTTCTGTGCTCACCTTCAGACGAGAATGTTTGCAGGGCCTGGTTAAGGTTGTTGTGAAGCTACAGGAGAAAAGCCCCCTGAAGTTCCAAGTGGTCAGGCAGACAGCATGTTTGGACCCTTCAAGAATGCACAGAGATCCTGATTGGTGCATCAGACAGATGAAGGGAATAGTGCAAACATTCCTCCAGGGCAAACATTTGGCAGGTGGCATCCCAGCTGGTAAGAATATATTGTATAGGGACAGTCAAAGTGCATAGGTTATTCGGATTGATTAGAGCGTTGTGTGGGAAGTGTGCGTTAGAAAGATGTTTTTCTGCATTCTCCTCTCAACAGTCAGGTAGTGTCAATGCTTTATCAAATTAAAAAGTTCAGAAGAAGCCTTACACATCCCTAGCTCTTCTTAGATGTTATAACATGATGTTGTGATGTATGTATTGCCAAATGGTCTGATGGGCCAACTGGGACTACTACATTTAAATGGCCTATTAAGTAACTATTTATTTATCTATGTTGTAGGTGATGTCATCATTCAGCAGTTTACATCATTGCTGTCTCTTGAGGCTAGAGGTGAACAGTTCCGCTCTTTCCAGCCTTTCAAGCAACGTGTGGATGTGTTTCTACACTTGACCCTCAGCCCATCCTACATGGACCTGTTGAGATTCTGCCAGAGCGTTTTACTTCTTTTCAAGCCACCGTGGAGAGGGGCTTCTCCATTAACAAGGAGGTGGAAACCTGTAACCTTCTAGGTGAATCCTTGGAGGCACTGAGGTTAATCTGTGACAATGTTAGTAGCTGTGGTGGTGTCCTCAAGGTGCCTTTAACCAAGGACTTGCTGGCTTCTGTGGCCTCAGCAAGGTCCCAGTACAGGCTCTACCTGGAGCAAGAGCGTAAAAAGAGGGAGAGTGATGCTCAAACACAGAAAAGGAAGGTCGCAGAGGACGAACTACAGGAGCTCAAGCAGCAACGCAAAGTCCTGGACGAAGTCTGTGCCATCCTTGAAAATGATGCCAACAAATTAGCTGAGGAGGCAGAGGGGAAAGCTGGGTCAAAAATGGTTCAGCTAATCACCAAATCAAACACACTTAGAAGGAGACACAAGGAGAAAAAAAGAGGAACTGGTCAAAATGGACAAAACTATTGAGGAAAAAGCCATGGAATTAAGGCACTTGCCATAGGATATTTTGCCCAAAAGTTCATATTAGGCCTATAGCACAAGTGCAAACAATAGTTCACCAGTTCATGTTTCCAATTTGTGAAAATAAAACAGTTCATAGAAGATATCAGTTTGGAATGCATCAACTTGCAGTAAATTCCAGTGTGCTGGAACTGTCCATTCTCTCCATTGCACATTTTATGTTTGTTTTATTTTCTAAGTAAAATAAATATGTGCAATACGTTGTCAACATCAGTGAGTCTCTAAGTCTATTCTTTTTATATGTTATAATATGTGTAAATAGGTCGCTGATTAACACTTGCAATTTAGTGTTGTGATGGTTTTAAAAAAAATTCTGAAGGTAGTAAAAAAAGGTATTAAAAAGTAGTCAATTTTACTTAAGGATTGCTGTATATACCCTGTAGTTAGCTCTTCGGCTAATGCTAGCGAGTGTCTGGAGCGACCAGAACCAAAAATGCCCGATTAACCAAACGTGCCTTAGCGACAAGGTAATACAGGGACTTTAGCGTCTGCACTCTGGTGTGCAGAATCGCCCTCCGGTGTCCAACGTCGACTTACAGCTGATAATATTAGCAAGTTAAGCTAACTATTATGCTTGCGAGGTTACCGGGAAAGGATAAGCGCGGATCAGACGCCGTCCGAACGGAAGTAACTTCCGACGGGGATAAATCTATCCCGATCTATCTCCGATTTACAAATATGTGCACACAGTGTCACAAACACAGCGACAAACAATAAAACAGACAGTTTTCAACGTACCAAGACAGGAAAAATATACCTTCATATGTAGGCCTCAAAATGGCCGCTAGCCACGTCAGCTTTAAGGTGTTTTGATGAAACAGCGCCTCCTTTGGAGGGTGATGAATGTGCAACCCCCCTTCAAGATAAAAGCTGTCTCCCTAGCTGAATGAGGAAAAGCTCACTTTTTCCTTTTTCCTCTGAACTCACACTGAACAAAATCCCAAAAGATGTCTCAAAATCGGCACAAAGTGTAATAAACTGTGCAGATATCAGGCTAGGCTCGCCAAAATGTAATGATCTGTAGTTTGTATATTTATACACTGCAATTAGATCTAAATATTATAATCAGAAGTGGTTGTTTTTATCATCAGGGAGTTTACTTAAACACTTTGTATTGACTGAGAGACAAGAAAAGAGAGAGTTGGGATCGTTTAAGAATCTTTAATTTCTATAATTATAAATTCTTACAATCTACCAGGACTATCTCAATGATGGATGCATATGGATTTGAATGTTATAGTGTTGGTGCGTGTGTGTGTGTAAGTGTGTTTCAGAATCTCTAGGCTGAAGTAGCGAATCTGGTTGTTATGACTAGGCTACCACGAGGCTTCAGAAGCTGATGACATGAGCCGCCATTTTGTGCCGTGACTACGTACCTATGGAGTCTCCCGCGGTCAGATCAGGAGTGTCAGGTCCTAGAACCCCCTTGGTGCTGGGCTGATGAAACGGTGGTGCAGCACGACAAACCAGTCTACGGATAGCTCCGGTAGTAGCTGCAGATCTCGGGGGGTTCAGCTCTTATTGTGAAGGAACCGTCGTCTTGTTGTTCAAACGACAGAAATTTCCAACTTGACAGTTCTCAACTTAAAATAGGAAAGTGCAGCTGGCTAGCCTGCAACTTTCTTAATGATGACGATGGAATCCTTAGGACCTCCAACTGAACAGAACTGAGGTTAAAATGGAACTGAGTATAAAATGGCGTTGCCTTGTTTTATATCTCCCAGTTGTTTGTAAATCTTAGTAAACCGGATTGGACAACTTAAGTAAACGACCCAGATTCTGCCCTACCACAGACGAAAGTTCTGATTGGTTGAGAACAATGTGTCATGCGTTTCCATGGTAATGTAGATCAGTCTGTCTGCTGCAGTCCTGTTTATTCATTAAACACATAACTCATAACATCTTTATTTCACAGACCATTCACCTGATTATTAATGATCAACATATGCTTTGATTAGCTTATCACAAATAAAGTACTTTGATTAATTAATGGAAAGCGTTCTTCTTCTCTTCTTATGTCTCTTCTCCTGGAATGTAAACATACTGAACCAAGCGTCCGACCTTGGCGATTCCTACACGTTGTTATTGTGTAAAGGGGCAGCTGTTAAGGGCAGACAATTATAATATTCATAACGCTACACTTGTAGGCATGTTTTATCGGAGAAGGCATGGGCGGAGTTTCATTGAAACAAAGCATTTTATTTTCGGGTATAAATTCAGGTTGACAAAAATAACTGGTATTTAAGAGAAACAACATCTTAATAGTGCCAATGGTAATATTTTATCATATACTGTGAATACCTTTGCTCTCAAAGGTTTAAAATAGCATGATATGGAACCGTAAATGTTCAAAATGTTTTATTTCCTCATTCTGTTGTTTTTTCCATTCACTTTAATCAGGTTTTTTAATTCATTAGGTCTCGCACTGTCAAGTTTTCCCCTGTCCAGCTTCTGTCCAAACTTGAAAAGGACTGGTTCCACCACAAAAAGTGAGCTAGGAAACAACTCATTCTTTTCTCGGTTTATTTGAGGTAAATCAGGTACTTGGGTAATCAGGTACCAAGGAAATCAGGTTGAAAACCTTCAAACAGAAACAGATTTACATGATTACAAACCAAAGGAATAAATTATCTTGTCTAATCTAAGCAGGTAATGTCATGTAACTTTATTTAACAGTAGAATGTTGTCAGATCCATACCAGTAGCCTCTTTGTGGTTTCCCCCAAGCTGAACGGTCTTTTCTTTTCTTTTTGCTGCATCTGCTTCCCTTCTGAGGTGCAGACTGAATTTGTTTGTATCCTGCAGACAGGTGCTCTCACTGAGCTGATGAGCTGATCAGACAGGAACTGGTCAGACAGGAATAGTGGTGGTGTTACTCGGCCTCCAGGGGGTGCAATTACTGACTGGCTGACTTTGAGCCTGACACGCACAAACATGTCACACTGAGATGTTGATCATCTATATCAGCGATACCCAATAGGCGGTCCGGCCCGCGGGGCCCTTCTTTGTGGCCCCTGAACTGCGCGTGCACCCCTCCACCCTGGTCCAGACGTCACATTTGCGCAGGAGTGGGAACTGTGCATGTGTGTATTGGTGTTTGATTACATTTTATCTGTCATTTCAGATTTCAGACACAAATAGGGTCTTTGTGTGTATCCACCAGGCTTTTGTCACAGCTTAATACAAAACTCACCTATGGAGTCAGATGTACTGTAAATCTCAAATTGTTCCAAAAGGGAACCTCTGAAGAAACGTGACAGGAGTTCTCCACGGGAGGACAAACTGTAAGCATTTAAACCAGGGATCCTGAACACCATACATTTAATTAAATGCACTTGATTGCGTTTTGTTGCATTTATAATTACTCCAACCCCTACTAATCCACTGAAGAGGTTGGGGACTGTTTAATCAGGCTATTGGTATTAATGCTGTTTGGCCAAGTTGAACGAGTTGAGTTTAGTGAGTTTAGCGAAAGCAGGTTAGTTAAAGTGCTACAGATTATTTTTTTCTTTGTTTAGGAACATATAGGTTTAGGTAATTTAGCAATGTCAACTTTACGTTAGAGTTGAAAGAAATTTTGGGATAATTTTGTCTTTTTTATCTATCAGTTTATTAACATTTATATGAGAGAAAGAATTGCATCGTAATATGTGACATTTAAAATGTAATTAAACACATCAGTAATTCTGTTTGCACCTTTCATAGTAATTAAGGTAATAAACTTGCCAAATAAAGTTATAATAGTTTTTAACAACAATATTTTTAGCCTCTAAATAACGATACAGGCACAAACGAGGAGACATCAGATCCGATTAAGCTAATCATCATCAGGGTCTGTCACGACATTTAAATTTGGAAGGGGTCTGATAATCGCAGATCCACACTGTAACTCTGCATGTTCCCTGAGCAGGGAGCTGATGCTCGAAGCAAAACCAATTATAGCAGAATTTACATAAAACTTCTGCTGAACTCCTGCACCTTTTTTAGAGCAGACACTAAATGAATGCAAATAATGTTAAACTAAAACATAACACTGTAAAACTTCTTCAACTGATAAGTTATGTTATTTAATTTTTTGTTGTTATGAGTGAAGTATGAAGTAATGACATTTGGCTTTTAAAGTGTATAGAAAATAAACAGAATTAAAATGATTAAAGGAGCATAGGGCAGGATGAAGAAACGAAACTCATTAGCGACGCACTCGGCGCTGTGAGTAACTGCAGCCCGGCACGAGAGCGCGCACAAACTCTTCAATAGAAAAAAAAAAGTTAGTGATGTACGGCCAGAGCGCGGCTCGAACAAGGCACCGTGTCGAGCGATGAAGTAAGTAACATTGTTACTTTTGTCTAATATTTGTATAATTCCATGACAACATTAGCATTTTAATTTAGCCATGACACTCGTGATGTAAAGCAAGTGCTCCTTCCTATGAAATATTCATAAGCCAGTTTTGTGACTGGTTAGCAAGACAGTAACATGATGCTACTTTATCAGCATAAGGCTTTGTGGCTGCAGGTGATTTCTGATGTTTTTAGACCAGTTACAGTTATTATTTTGCACTAAGCTTACTAACAAGCTACTGTTATTGTTTATACATCATGTAAGAACATCCAATTTCAAGTCACTGACATCAGTTGTGAAACCAATTTCATTACAGGACAGGCATCACAATGTAAATAAGAACATAAATATCAATGTTTGGTTCAAAAATGCATCAAAATAAAATTATAATGTCAACAAGACCTACAGGGTAATACAGTCATTTTTCCATTACTGTCATTGATTTTCAGGAATTCACATTGGAAGCAGTGATGGAAGACAGTTCAGATGGAGTGTGCCCGAGCCTGCCACAGACTTTGATGTGTCGTGGAAAAGTTTGAGACCAGGGGCTAAAGGAAAGGGGAGAGGAAAAGGTCGCTCCGAGGGTCGGGGAAGGACACGCTCAAGGGGTGAGGGCAGCAGGTTGAGGTCCAGAGCTCCTTCAAGAGGACCAGGGCGCCGGGGTAGGCAGCGAACAGCTTTCAGAGAAGAGGACCGAGACCGGCTTGCACAGCTGAGAGCTGCCTGTATAGCTGAGATGCAGGTTGGTTGTAGCCATTTGTGTAAAAAAAAAAAAAAAAAAAGATGCCAAAAACGAAAACATCACTCACTGGAGATATGAATCTAGTCATGTAAACATATGCTCTTTAATTTCTAGACAGCTTTACAACACCTGAGCCAG